AAAAACGGCAGCGCGCCTTATATATCGATTAGTTCTGGTTACTGACCTCGAAGCGATTTTTATGGTACACGGTGCTGCGTGAAGACAAGTAAAGACAAGAGAGACTGAAATGACTATTTCTGGCTTATTAGCCATCGTCAGCCATTCACACCTAGACTCAAGTGGTGCATCGATAGTTAGGCGTTGGATTTCGATCAAAGGGTTGTGAATTCGACATTCGGGTGGTGTTAGACGCATTACTACATTTTCGGTTCGCTTTTCACTGGAGTAGATAAAACTGAAGAATATTATCTTAATGTCTGATATGGCCATCTAATCTCTGAAACCACTGTCAGGTCAGTGCTTCAGGAAATATCAGTTCGCAGTACAACTGTTCACGTTCGGCTTTAATTCATTTACAAATATTCAACAAAGATGAAAATGAGAAAAACGGAAAGTATGTGACCACCGTTGTAAGGGAGCGTTCTGACCTCTAAAGTAACTCCTCTTTCGGTAGCTTTAAACAGTCTCTCCGTAGGCATGCGCATCACAGCATAGTTGCCAGTAACTGGAACTGCAATCGTCGTGTTAAACACAACTGCGACCCCTTGGAGCCAACGATGATTCGGCCAGCAAAAAGTGTTTTTATACTACCCACGACTTTCAAAATTTTTCCGATCTTCACTTTGTCCAAGGCAAGCAGTCCGCTACAGATTTCCGGCTTGCATGTGATGCAACTATCACACTAAACCAACCAGCCTATTTTCCTTTCAGCGAAAAATCGAACACTTGAGGCGAGGTACAATGAATTAACTGGACAGGTGTTCAAGTCAGTCGGCAAGTTAGAGGCAGCTCTTTGGGTAAATTCTCCCTTCATGCGCTTTCTTACCGACTTTTCTTATAGCACACAGCTATTTTTCATGAAATCGCTAAAGAATCGGGAGATTCCACGATGCAATTAAGAGCCAACGTGCAACTAGCTGACCTGAAAGAGAGGTAAGCAACTTGACAGTTAGGATGTGTCTACGCGGGTTTACATCTACGAGGCCACATTATCTGAGTCCAGTGATTCACTAACCGTCTAATAAGTTACCCAAGAAGGAAGAGGGCGTCATTTTCTTGCAGCTCCCCCTTTTCAATGTCTTGGATCATCCATCATACTTTTAAATTATAATTTACTTTGCTCCCGCTAGTAAAGTCAATAGAAAACCATCAGGCATCGTTATGGTCTGATTATCGTGCGCAACAGTGTCATTGTTAGAGTGTCAATCAACTCATTACTATGCCTCCGAGGCAATTCAACTGTTAGAGTTTGAAGGGTTTTTTTTACTGACGATTTCAGCAGCGGCCGCTGAAGATGGCTCCAAGTTTATATCATCCTCATCTAATGAGCTATATAAACGGCCGAAACGTATGTTTATCTTATGAAGCCCTTAGCTCTTTTGGTCACTCCTAGTTAGGTATCCATGCTTGTAGTGCCAGTAATTAACAGAATGCGGGGGGGGGCAAACCTTAGGCTAGAAACGAACACCCAATTCGTCCACCATGACCTGTCATGGAGACGATGAACGTCTCCGACCAATGGCTCACTGCAGACCATAAAATGTGTCCCTTTTTCTTTGGCAGCTATTCAATTTCGGTTCTGCCGTCTCTCCTGTGCCAGTAATATGTTTAGGACTTATCGAACACACGGCTCGCTGGCTCCCGAGCAGTAAATGACTTTGTGGATGGCAACTTTTAGAAACGTTGCATACCCTTCTGTGTCCGTTTGTTTACTAGCATCCAGTTAAGATTCCTCTGCTTGATCATAACGAATTTTGCCCAAGCATGTGACTGCTTACATTCGCCTGACGACAGTAATACAAGAATGAAGATTAGGGAGCCTGTTTTTCAAAAGGCTCCTGACCAAAAGATGTTACTGAACGTTAAAATTTACAGCCATCTGCGCTCACTTTTCTTGGAGAGAACTAGTACATCTGCGCACAATAGCTTCTTATTAACTTATAGCAGTGCATACTGAAGGGCCTGTGGCGAACTGGAGTAGGGGGAAATTAATAGAGAGTACTCGGCCAAGCAAATTACAGATTCAAAAGCAATTTCCTGCGCACTTGCGAGGAGATATATGAAACTTAACAAATTGTATGCATGTTTTTTTCTTAGGCTGGGCTGTCTGGAGGACAGCATACAGTTCCTGCAAAATATTAAGCGGTTGGCCCTCAACTGCAACGACGCGAGGGCACTGATAGAGGCGGAGATCTCCTTGGGTCGGGTCTACAGCCGGAAGCCGTATTGCGAGGGCAAGGCGAAACGCCACTGCGCCGAGGCCTTCCGAGTGAGCCTCG